AGAATCATAGAATATAAGGGTTGGAAGGGACCCCAGAAGGTCATCTAGTCCAACCCCCTGCTCAAAGCAGGACCAATTCCCAGTTAAATCATCCCAGCCAGGGCTTTGTCAAGCCTGACCTTAAAAACCTCGAAGGAAGGAGATTCTACCACCTCCCTAGGTAACGCATTCCAGTGTTTCACCACCCTCTTAGTGAAAAAGTTTTTCCTAATATCCACTCTAAACCTCCCCCACTGCAGCTTGAGACCATTACTCCTCGTTCTGTCATCTGCTACCATTGAGAACAGTCTAGAGCCATCCTCTCTGGAACCCCCCTTTCAGGTAGTTGAAAACAGCTATCAAATCCCCCCTCATTCTTCTCTTCTGCAGGCTAAACAATCCCAGCTCCCTCAGCCTCTCCTCATAACTCATGTGTTCCAGACCCCTAATCATTTTTGTTGCCCTTCGCTGGACTCTCTCCAATTTATCCACATCCTTCTTGAAGTGTGGGGCCCAAAACTGGACACAGTACTCCAGATGAGGCCTCACCAATGTCGAATAGAGGGGAACGATCACGTCCCTCGATCTGCTCGCTATGCCCCTACTTATACATCCCAAAATGCCATTGGCCTTCTTGGCAACAAGGGCACACTGCTGACTCATATCCAGCTTCTCGTCCACTGTCACCCCTAGGTCCTTTTCCGCAGAACTGCTGCCTAGCCATTCGGTCCCTAGTCTGTAGCTGTGCATTGGGTTCTTCCGTCCTAAGTGCAGGACCCTGCACTTATCCTTATTGAACCTCATCAGATTTCTTTTGGCCCAATCCTCCAATTTGTCTAGGTCCTTCTGTATCCTATCCCTCCCCTCCAGCGTATCTACCACTCCTCCCAGTTTAGTATCATCCGCAAATTTGCTGAGAGTGCAATCCACACCATCCTCCAGATCATTTATGAAGATATTGAACAAAACCGGCCCCAGGACCGACCCTTGGGGCACTCCACTTGATACCGGCTGCCAACTAGACACGGAGCCATTGATCACTACCCGTTGAGCCCGACAATCTAGCCAGCTTTCTACCCACCTTGTAGTGCATTCATCCAGCCCATACTTCCTTAACTTGCTGACAAGAATACTGTGGGAGACCGTGTCAAAAGCTTTGCTAAAGTCAAGAAACAATACATCCACTGCTTTCCCTTCATCCACAGAACCAGTAATCTCATCATAGAAGGCGATTAGATTAGTCAGGCATGACCTTCCCTTGGTGAATCCATGCTGGCTGTTCCTGATCACTTTCCTCTCATGCAAGTGCTTCAGGATTGATTCTTTGAGGACCTGCTCCATGATTTTTCCAGGGACTGAAGTGAGGCTGACTGGCCTGTAGTTCCCAGGATCCTCCTTCTTCCCTTTTTTAAAGATTGGCACTACATTAGCCTTTTTCCAGTCATCCGGGACTTCCCCGGTTCGCCACGAGTTTTCAAAGATAATGGCCAATGGCTCTGCAATCACAGCCGCCAGTTCCTTCAGCACTCTCGGATGCAACTCGTCCGGCCCCATGGACTTGTGCACGTCCAGCTTTTCTAAAAAGTCCCTAACCACCTCTATCTCCACAGAGGGCTGGCCATCTCTTCCCCATTTTGTGATGCCCAGCGTAGCAGTCTGGGAGCTGACCTTATTAGTGAAGACAGAGGCAAAAAAAGCATTGAGTACATTAGCTTTTTCCACATCCTCTGTCACTAGTTTGCCTCCCTCATTCAGTAAGGGGCCCACACATTCCTTGGCTTTCTTCTTGTTGCCAACATACCTGAAGAAACCCTTCTTGTTACTCTTGACATCTCTGGCTAGCTGCAGCTCCAGGTGCGATTTGGCCCTCCTGATAACATTCCTACATGCCCTAGCAATATTTTTATACTCTTCCCTGGTCATATGTCCAACCTTCCACTTCTTGTAAGCTTCTTTTTTATGTTTAAGATCCGCTAAGATTTCACCATTAAGCCAAGCTGGTCGCCTGCCATATTTACTATTCTTTCGAATAGTTTGTTTGTGTATTATCCTTGGTGGCCACGGAGTGTCATTGTTGCTTCATGAGGGAAATACTTTGTGCATTACCCTGAGTGGCCAGCTAGTGTCACTGTTGCTCCATGAGGGAAATTGATTGTGCATCACCCTTACTGGCCAGCCAGTGTCACTGTTGCTCCGTGAGGAAAATTGTTGGTGCATTACCCTGAGTGGCCACCCAGTGTCACTGTTGCTCCGTGAGGGAAATTGTTGGTGCATGACCTGGAGTGGCCACCCAGTGTCGTTGTTTCTTGATGGAAATACTTTATGCATTACCCAGAGTGGCCACGCAGTGTCACTGTTGCTCCGTGAGGGGAATGCTTTGGGCATCACCCTCACTGGCCACCCAGTGTCACTGTTGCTCCATGAGGGAAATTGTTTGTGTATTACCGTGAGTAGCCACTCAGTGTCACTTACTCCGTGAGGAAAATTGTTGGTGCGTTACCCTGAGTGGACACCCAGTGTCACTGTTGCTCCGTGAGGCAGATTATTTGTGCATTACCCTGAGTGGCCACCGAGTGCCACTGTTGCTCCATGCGGGAAATGCTTTGTGCGTTACCCTGTGTGGCCACCCAAGACAACACAGACATCTCACACAAAATATCTCACACACACAACACGACATACGACACTGACACACACACACAATACGTCATTCATACACAAGCACGTCTGTCACACACACAACACATGACACTGACACACACAAACAACATGACGCACAAAAATCAACACACAAATGACACCGACAGACACAGACACACAACACAACACACAAAATGGCACACAACAAGTCACATACTCAACACAATACTGGAGACAACACACAACACACGACACCAATACACAACACTGAAGGAAACACAGAAGACACACAACACGTCAATACATACACACAACACGATACACAACGCCTCGCATGACACACAAGATGGCACACAACACGACACACAAAACATCACATACAAAACGTGAGACAACACACTACACTGACACACACACACATGTCACACAAACACTCAACACAACACACAACACACTCACAAAATAGCACACAAGTCACACACATAGAGAACACGACACACATGTCACACATACACAAACATGTCTCACACACACAACACCAGACACCAACACACAACAGAACACACAACATGTCGCACACACAACACAACACACATGTCACACATGTCCTACGCCATACAAAACGACAGACAACATGACACAGAAATCACACACGACACCAACACACGACACACACATACACTCCACACAACACTTGAGACGACACCCAGTGCGTGCGAGAGTGGAGCGGTGACTGTCAGTGTTAACTTGATCTCTGTTCATGGAGTGGGGCCCATGTAGATGGGATGAAAGAGGGAGGCAGGGCTGAGGGCAAGATTTCAAGCACCAGTCGAGCTTTGTGGAGTGATGGCTCATGCTTGGCTTTTGCAGCTGGGCTTCCAGAGGAATTGTCCAGGAGCCCTAGCCGGATGAGAATATGGCAGAAGTGGACCTGAGCAGCTTGGGCATCTTTCCAAGGAGATATAAACAGGGCTCAGCTTTCTGCCTTCTGCAGAACTGGCTGTGAGGTCAGTGCTTTCAGTTCCTCATCTGTACTTGCTGTAGCACTATTCACAGGCCGTGCGCTTCCTCGTTGGGTATGGGGCTCTGTGGTATTAAGGCTGGGGAGGGGACAGAGTCTTCTGTGGGAGAGGCAAAAAGAAGAGCCTACGAGACGTTGCCAACTGAGATGGTAACTTACTTGTTTTTTTCACCTTGTGCTGGGTTTAGTACCAAGGAAAAAGAAGATAAGCCTCAGAATCTACTGCCCTCATGTGATGGTGAGTGAGAGAAGCGAGCCTGTGATCATTGTTGATGCCAGGCAAGAGGCGTCCATCTGGGAGCCGAGCAACCGCTGCTGTCAGTGAGATAAGTGTCTGGTTTGGTGAGGGATCTGCTCACACCCCACCTGAGTCCAGGTAGGGAAGCCCTGTAAGGTAGGATTGGGTTTGTAAGAAAAGATTCCTGACTAGCTGTGGTTAAGAGGGAGAACTGGTCCCTATTTTCAGAGGCTGCTCATTTCTCTGGTCAGGAACGGTGTCTCCTCTGCAGCAGAAGGTTGGATCCAGGAGGATGACTCCAGGAAACGAGTTCCTTGTCTTCCTCCCACGTTTTTCTCTTTGTCTCTCTCTCTTCTCTAGTGTGTTGGCCAATTCTCTCTCTCTCTCCTCACCTTACCTTTCCTTGTGCTGTCTCCCTTCGTAAGACGCGGGCAGGCGTGCTAGGTCTGCATCCCCACAGGCTAGGTCTCGGGAGCCATGGAGGAGTAGGAGCGGAGAAAAATCCTGTGTGGCAGTGGGCGCTAAAGTCAAGCAGTGACTGTCGGTGTGAACTTGGTCTCTGCTCATTGAGTGGGGCAGATGGAGATGGGATTGGAGAGGGAGGCCAGGATGAGGGCCAGATTCCCAGCACCAATAGAGCTTACTGTGGGGATGGCTTATGCTTGGCTTTTGCAGCTGTTCTCGCATAGGAATTGCGCAGGAGCCCTAGCCACAGGAGAAATGGCAGAGGTGGACCTGAGCAGCTTCGACATTCTTCTAAGGAGACATAAGCAGTCCTCATGTTTCTACCTTCTGCATAACTGGCTGTGAGGTCAGTGCTTTCAATTCCTCATCTGGACTCGCTGCAGTACTCTTCACAGGCTGTGAGCTTCCTTGTTGAGTACGAGACTCTGGGATTAAGGCTGAGGAAGGGACCAGAGTCTCCTGAGCAAAGTGACTATTTTGGGTGCCCTGACAATGGGCGCCTTCTAGTTGCAGCTGTAAAGTAGGAATGGAAGATGGGTTGAGGGCGGAGCCGTGGGAGCTGGGAGATGTGAAATGAAGAGACTATGTGACACTGCAGAAGGAGATGCTAATATTTTTTGTTCCCCCCCCCCATCTGCTGGGTTTAGTACCAAGGAAAAAGAAGTCAAGCCTCAGAGTCTACTGCCCTCATGCGATGAAAAGTGAGTGAGAGCAGCGAGCCAGTGACCATTGTTGATGCCAGGCAAGAGCCCTCCATCTGGGAGCTGAGCAGCCGCCAGTCTCGGTGAGATAAGTGTCTGGTTTGGTGAGGACTCTGCTCGTGCCCCACCTGAGTCCGGGTAGGGAAGCCCCGTTAAGTTAGGGTTCGGTTTGTAAGAAAAGGTTCCTGATCAGCTGTGGTTACGAGGGAGAAAAGGTCCCCATTTTCAGAGGCGGCTCTTTCTCTGGTCAGGAACGGTGTCTCCTCCACAGCAGAAGTTTGGATCCAAGAGGATGACTCCAGGTGTTGAGTTGCTTGCCGTGCTCTCATGTTTCTCTGTCTTCTTTAGTGTGTTCGCCAACTCTCTCTCTCTCTCTCCTCTTCTCTCCTTTTGCCGTCTCACTTCATAGGGTACGGGTAGTGTGCATTCCCAGAAGTGAGGTCTCGGGAGCCCTGGAGAAGTAGGAGCGGACGAAAATCGTGCAGGGCAGCGGGTGCGAGCATGGAGTGGTGACTGTCGGTGTTAACTCTGTGTCTGTTCATCGAGTGTTGGCAATGCATGGATGAAGGCAAGATTTCCAGCACCAATGGAGCTTTGTATAATGATAGCTCATGCTTGGCTTTGCAGCTACTCTCGCAAAGGAATTGTCCAGGAGCCCTAGCCAGAGGAGAAGTGGCCAAGGTGTACCTAAGCAGCTTGGACATCCTTCTAAGTGGACATGAAGAGTCGTCAGCTTTCTGTCTCCCGCATAACTGGCTCTGAGTAAGCGGTCAGTGTTTTGAATTCCTCATCTGTGCTCGCTGCAGTATTTCTTCAGAGGCCATGTGCTTCCTCTTTGGGTACAGGGCTCTGTGAGATTATGGCTGATGAGGGGCCAGAGTCTGCTGTGCAGAGTGATTATATTGGGTGCCGTTGCAAGGGGTGCTTTCTAGTTTTAGTACTAAAGGCCTGATGGTGGGGAGGGTTGGGGCAGAACGCCGCCGTGCAGGAGAAGAGAAAAGAATAGCCTATGCAATGTTGCCCACTGAGATGGTAACTTATTTGTTTTTCCTCCTCGGTCTGGGTTTAGTACAAACAGTTTACTCCCCTCATTGGATGGAAAGCGAGCGAGAGCAGTGAGCCCGCGAGCACTGTTGATGCAAGCCAGGAGTCGTCCAGTTGGCAGTGGAGCAGTCGCTAATGTCAGTGAGATAAGTGTCTGGTTTGTTTAAGGCTTTGTTCACGGCCCGCCTGGCTCCAGGTAGGGACTCCCCATTAGCTGGGGCTGGGTTTGTAAGAAATGGTTCCTGACCAGCTGTGGTTACGAGAGAGACAAGGTCCCCGTTTTCAGGGGCTGCTCATTTCTCTGGCCAGGAACGGTGTCTCCTTCGCAGGAGAAGGTTGCATCTAGGAGGAGGACTCCAGCTGGTGAGTTGCTTGCCGTGCTCTCATGTTTCTCTGTCTTCTTTAGTGTGTTCGCCAACTCTCTCTCTCTCTCTCCTCTTCTCTCCTTTTGCTGTCTCACTTCATAGGGTACGGGTAGTGTGCATTCCCAGAAGTGAGGTCTCGGGAGCCCTGGAGAAGTAGGAGCGGACGAAAATCGTGCAGGGCAGTGGGTGCGAGCATGGAGTGGTGACTGTCGGTGTTAACTCTGTGTCTGTTCATCGAGTGTTGGCAATGCATGGATGAAGGCAAGATTTCCAGCACCAATGGAGCTTTGTATAATGATAGCTCATGCTTGGCTTTGCAGCTACTCTCGCAAAGGAGAGTAGCTGCAAAGTGCTGCTGGTGCTAGAGAGTGAATTTGTGTGGGGGGGGTGGAGGGTGAGAAAACCTGGATTTGTGCTGGAAATGGCCCACCTGATGATCACTTTAGATAAGCTATTACCAGCAGGACAGTGGGGTGGGAAGAGGTATTGTATCATATTCTCTGTGTATATATAAAGTCTGCTGCAGTTTCCACGGTATGCATCCGATGAAGTGAGCTGTAGCTCACGAAAGCTCATGCTCAAATAAATTGGTTAGTCTCTAAGGTGCCACAAGTACTCCTTTTCTTCTTATGATTCTATGATTTGTGCATTGCCTGAATTGGCCACCCAGTGGCACTGTTGCTCCGTGATGGAAATTGTTGGTGCATTACCCTGAGTGGCCACCTAGTGGCACTGTTCGTCCATGAGGGAAATGATTTGTGCATTATTTAGATTGGCCACGTGGTGACACTGTTGCTCCATGAGGGAAATTGTTGGTGCATTACCCAGAGTGGCCACCCAGTGTCACTGTTGCTGCATGAGGGAAATGCTTTGTGCATTACCCCGAGTGGCCACCCAGTGTCACTGTTCGTCCATGAGGGAAATGGTTTGTGCATTATCTGGATTGGCCACCCACTGTCACTGTTGCTCCGTGAGGGAAATGCTTTGTGCATTGCCCTGAGTGGCCACCCAGTGTCACTGTTGCTCCATGAGGGAAATGCTTTGTGCATTACCCTGAGTGGCCACCCAGGGTCACTGTTCGTCCATGAAGGAAATGGTTTGTGCATTATCTGGATTGGCCACCTGGTGTCACTGTTGCTCCATGAGTGAAATTGTTGGTGCATTACCCTGAGTGGCCACTGGGTGTCACTGTTGCTCCATGACAAAATGCTTTGTGTATTTCTCCAAGGTGTCACTGTTGCTCCATGCATTACCCTGAGTGGCCACCCAGTGTCACTGTTGATCCATGAGGGAAATTCTTTGTGCATTACCCTGAGTGGCCACCCAGCGTCACTCTTGCTCCATGAGGAAAATACTTTGTGCTTTGTGAATTACACTGTGTGGCCACCCAAGAGAATACACACACACAACATCACATCACACAAACATCACACACACAACATCAGACACAGACAACACGACACATGACCCCAACATACACAGACGACACCGACACACACAAACAACATGACACACAGCACTCAAGGAAACACAGAACCGACACACGACACCGACACACACAACCACGACACACAACACACACACGACACTCATGACACTGACACACACAAAGAAGGTGACACACGACACATGACACTCACGACACCGACACACACAAAGAAGACGACACACGACACTTACGACACTGACACACACAAAGAACACGGCACACGACACTCACGACACCGACACAGACAAAGAACACGACTTACGACACACACAAAAAACATGACACCGACACACAGCATGACACATGACACACAACACCGACACACACACAATATGAAACCGACATACACACACAACCCAACTCACGACAGCGATACACACACGACGCGATGCACAATACCAACACACACACACAAGATGACATGCAAAACATAACATACACACAACACATGACACCAACACACACACAATATGACACACAACACACGACACCGACTCACACAGAACACGACACTCAAATGACACACACACGTGACACACACACGACACTGAGACACACGCAACATGACACTCACACGACATGACAACGACACCAACAGACACACACGCTACACAACGCCAACAGACACATACGCAAGATGACACTCACACGACCTGACACATGACACCAACAGACACACACGCAACACTGACCGACACTCACGCAACACGACACTCACACGACATGCAACACGACACTCACACGACACACACCTGACACACAACACAGACACAAGACATTGCACATTGCATGTCACACACCGCACGTGGCACATTGTACACAGCACGTCACACGTCACGCACACAGTAAGTCACATGTCTCACATCGCACAAGTCGCATGTGACGCAAAACACGTTGCACTTTGCAGACGCACAAGTCGCACGCGTGTGCACGCCCACAACACGTGTCACACACACACACAACATGACACACAAGACACACGACAAACAAAATGACACACAAAAATCACACACAACACATGACACTGACACACCACGTCTCACACACACAAACACCCAAGACGGCATATGACACTGAAACACACATACACCACATCACACACACACAGACACACCCAAGATGGCATATGACACTGACACACACACATACAACACGTCACATGCACAGAAACACACCCAAGACGGCACATGACACAAGACACGACACGTCACACGTAGCACACGCTGCACGTCGCAGAGACAGCACGTCGCACGTCACACATTATACGCAGCATGTCAGATGTTGCATGTTGCGTCACATACAAAACACATCGCACACACCACATTGCACACATCACCCGTTGCATGTCACGCATCACGTGATGCACAACACGTCACACTTTGTATGTCACACAACACTTTGCATGACACACAGTGGCACACAACATGACACACAAATGACACAACACCAACACACACAACACGACACACAACCCCTGACAAGAAACATGAAACGGCACACAACACACACACAACACACGACATGGACACACACACAACACGACACACAGCCTGTTACACACACACTCAAGACAACACTCAACAACACACAACACGACACACAGCCCGTTACACACACATAGAACACATGTCCCAGATACATAAACACGTCTCACACACACAAAATGATACACAACACGGACGACACATCATACGACACACAACACGGCACACAACACAACACACAAAATCACACACAACATACAACACTGACACACACAACATGACACATGACACAGAGAATGGCACACCACACAAAACATCACACAGCAAACTTCACAGACAGACAACACCGACACACACACACAACATGACATACAATGGCACACAACATGACACACAAAAATCACACACAACAGATGACACCGACACACACACACAACACGTCACACACACACACGACACCCCACTCATTGCACGTGGCACACACAGCATATCGCACGTCCCATGCCACATACAGCACGTTGCACGTCACGCACATGTCGCAAGTTGTGTGTCACACACACAGCACTTCGCACACATCATGTCGCACGTCACCCACAACATTTCACACATTGTATGTCACACACACAACACGTGGGATGTTGCAAGCGCAGACCCAACACGTTGCACACACATCACATTGCGCGTCGCACATTGTACACAGCATGTCGCATGTCACATGCGCAGACACACCACATCGCACGTCACGCACACTTCGCACACGCACAAAACGTTGCACGCACACAACACACACAACCCATCACACAGACACAATAAGGAAGCTCAGAGTAAGAAGGTGATATGGAAGGGAGGGGTTCAGCTGTTGTGACCTGCACTGGATGTGCCATGTCTGTCTTTCTTCCACAGGACAGAAGCGACTTTGTGTGTACAAAGTGCAAGCTGGTCTCCATACTGGAAGAGAAGATTGAAGGTCTGGAGCAACAGATAACGACCCTGCGTTGCGTACGAGAAACGGAGGATTTTCTGGACAAAAGTCAGGATATGCTTCTACGGGCACAAAGCTCTAAAGATTTAGAGCAGGTTGCACAGCGGAGCCAAGGGGCCAGTGAAGAAGCTTGGCAACATGTGACCTCCAGAAGAAGAAGGGGGAATGTCCAGGTTCCAGCAACGTGGACACAGGTAACTAACAGCTTTCATGTTCTCTCCACAGGTACCATTGCGGAGAGTGGACCAGATGATATGTCCGGGGGGAGAGGCTGGTTGGAAGGCATGAGATGCGCTGTCCTGAGATGGGGGGTTCCACGACCACCACTCCCAAGAGAAGGAGGCGGGTGGTGGTGTTCGGGGACTCTCTACTCCGGGGGACTGAGTCATCTATCTGCCGCCCTGACCGGAAAAACCGAGAAGTCTGCTGCTTGCCGGGGGCTAAGATTCGCGATGTGACGGAGAGACTGCCGAGACTCATCAAGCCCTCGGATCGCTACCCCTTCCTGCTTCTCCACGTGGGCACCAATGATACTGCCAAGAATGACTTTGAGCGGATCACTGCGGACTACGTGGCTCTGGGAAGAAGGATAAATGAGTTTAAGGCGCAAGTGGTGTTCTCGTGCATCCTCCCCATGGAAGGAAAAGGCCTGGGTAGGGACCGTCGAATAGTGGAAGTCAACGAATGGCTACGCAGGTGGTGTCGGAGAGAAGGCTTTGGATTCTTTGACCATGGGGTGGTGTTCCATGAAGGAGGAGTGCTGGGCAGAGACGGGCTCCACCTTATGAAGAGAGGGAAGAGCATCTTTGCGAGCAGGCTGGCTAACCTAGTGAGGAGGGCTTTAAACTAGGTTCACTGGGGGAAGGAGACCAAAGCCCTGAGGTAAGTGGGACAGCGGGATACCGGGAGGAAGCACAGGCAGGAATGTCTGTGAGGGGAGGGCTCCTGCCTCATACTGAGAATGAGGGGCGATCAGCAGGTTATCTCAAGTGCTTATATACGAATGCACAAAGCCTTGGAAACAAGCAGGGAGAACTGGAGGTCCTGGTGATGTCAAGGAATTATGACGTGATTGGAATAACAGAGACTTGGTGGGATAACTACATGACTGGAGTACTGTCATGGATGGTTATAAACTGTTCAGGAAGGACAGGCAGGGCAGAAAAGGTGGGGGAGTAGCACTGATGTAAGGGAGCAGTATGACTGCTCAGAGCTCCGGTACGAAACTGCAGAAAAACCTGAGTGTCTCTGGATTAAGTTTAGAAGTGTGAGCAACAGCAGT